CGAGCATTTAATAGGAAATTTTGAAAACATGTGCCACTGTTTTCCTAGTTTTGCTTTGCGTCGTTAAAATTTACATTATAAAGTTGAGTTAATTCGCCACGTCGTTAGCCTGGGGCTAAAGAATTACATACAGACTGTTCGTATTCAGCCCATGAATTTGCAATTCTAATAACTTCTGCCGTATACATTCTGACTGTTTATTTTGGCAGTCTCAAAGCAAATTCGCCACCAGACTGTGTCCATCTTAATTGCGGTGCGATTAGGGTGGCTTTGAAATATAATTTCAGACTAATTTCTCATCGCGAAATATGCCTTTCACTGCCACATCTTCAAGTTTTTAGGCCTGTGCGGCTCATGAGTTTGCCTGGCAACACGAAATGAGATGGAGGCATTCAAAGAGAAGATAGCTGGCCTTGGACCCAGTCGAAGCGACTCGCGAACTTTCACTCAAGAGACCACGTTTCGCGTGAAGTATCTGGGATTCTGTCTGAATTCGCGAGCGGGAGTTGAAGGCATTCGAGCTGCTGTGAGTGAAATTAAGAAAACAGGTGGACAAAGGGATCACAGGAACACAATTCAAACGAACTTCATCAAAATTAGCGACCAAGGTGTGAGTTTCGTGGAGCGAAAACGAGAACGAAGTGTACCATTAGCATTTATTCCGCTTCGGAAGATTTCGTATGGATTAATTTATGAAAAGGACTCCAATATTTTCGCTTTTAATCACCACGTCTCGCAGAACCATGTTGAATGTCATGCAGTTGTATGTGAAAGCGAACTGAAGGCTCGTGAAATTAGCGAAACTTTGTATGCTTCATTCCGAGCAGACCATTTCGAAAACCTACGGAAGGAGCGGGAAAAGGTAAAGAGGTGTCTACAGACAGATTCAATCGATAACCTTACAAGTGGAGGAGGACAAAACGTGAACTCACAATAATTATAAAGCTGGTTCTTTATAAAACATACTACACAGAAACACTGTAATCGACTATAAAGATGTCCCTATTTTGAACTTTCATTCGACTTTCCATTATTGGAGATCAAATTTTTCCATTTTATCATAAAATAGAGCGAGTAAAATGACTAGATTTTTAATCACTTTAATTTAGAATAAAGCAACAGNGGTTTCTTGACTTCAAAAACTTGAAATTATTGAAAAAACTGGTGCGCGCGCGTACACAACTGCAAATTTCCAAGAACAATTCAGTCCGTGCGAATTTGTTAAAGCATGAAGCTTAATAATACGTAGAAAATAATTGGAAACCGTTATTAGTGTTAATTTCAGTTAGAATTCCACTAACACAATTAGATTATTCGCTCGAGATTTCTACGAGGTGATAGTTGATGAAGCCGAAGGCCGAATCAACTATCACCTCTTAGAAATCTCGAGCTCATAATCTAATTGTTAAATCAGGATAGTGAGTGGTGCAGCCGCTTCTTCGCGTTTTCTAGCTGTCTATGAGGAGGATATAGATAAAGTTTTGAACAACTATTAGATTTATACTAAAACAATTAGGTTATTCGCTTTCGATTTCCATGTGTGATAGTTGGCTAGAAATCTCGAGCCGAGCTCATAATCTAATTATTAACTATCATTCACTTTCAGCTTGTTCAAATTTTTCCTGATAGTCGATGATAGTTTATTACGTTTCACCTTGCGTATGATAGTTGATTGTAGCAAGGAAAGAACCAACATGCACCGTTTGACTGCAGCTTAAAGCTGACATAATGGTGGGAGTTACATGTAATACAGGCTTCATCCTAAAGAGACCCCTGGTCAGTAGAGTACAACCAGCTGCAAGGGTAGAAAGCTTTAAAGTTCCCGACGTAATGTGACTTGACAGTGTTGAAGATGTTGAATCGTCCAGAAAATTCATGAAAATGAGCTTTCCTCGTTCCCAAGATGGCACGGTTAAGCAAAGGCTGGGAACTAGTTACCAAATATTATAATGGTAGTCTCTGGACGTTATTATCAGGTCATTGAGCACATGTCATGAAAATTAAGAATCCTTTTGTATTTTCTAATCTCCTTCCCTTTATTTAAAAGCCTATTTGAAAGTGCATTTGTCATCTTTGCATCTCATTTCAGTTGAAATTGTCCGACAGACGCAATGCGCATGCGTGTTACGCAAGCCTTGATTCTATCGCGGATTAATTGATGTTACAAAATTACGACCATATCAAATATTTTATAAAATACTTTGCAATCATCCAAGGTATGTGAGTAATATTAGATAAGCCCAAGTGCGGTAATCAGCAATAAAACTGAGCAAGAAATCCCACAACGATCGCAAATGGTGGGAGTATATTACATTTAAACGAACCATTAATTATTTGCCTTAAACTAATGAGTAAGGAAAATAACGATCTGGGTGACGCCAGATCTCGTGGCTAGTGTCACTATCAATTTTTTTCGGGATTGCAGGCTGCCCTCGGGTGACCCGCTTACTTCTGCGGGATGCCCGTGTTGTAGTGGCCTCCGCACCATCCCCACCAACAAAACAATGAAATAGGAACACTAAAATTGCGCGTGGGAAGATTGGAGAATAAGATGCACCGTGGGAGTGCATCGGCTGAAAATTTAGCGGCTACGTCTGCAGAAAGAGGCGAGAACCTAATATAAGAAAGAGTGCCTAGCTCACTACTCGTGTAACGTAGAGATCTCTACTGAAGCCTTATTGGTCTCTAATACATGTCATCCCTTGCTTTGAAATTTCAGCACCTGTTTCCTAGACGCAAGTGCTTGTTTCTGTTACCTATAAATGTAGAGTTGAATTGTTGAAGTAGTCAGCTGGTCTTAGCTCACCTGAGTATTAATCACAGACATCCCATGCTGTTAAGGAAGTCGACATTAGTCAGGCAAAACACGGAAGAGAAAAAAAATTTTATCACTGAAGTTTCCGTGTTGTATAACGTTTCACTGTTAATTTAACTAAAAAGGAAGACCAGACAAATCCAACCTCACTGGGACTTGCGATAGTATAATATTTTACCATCAATTTCTTTAAAGTTTTTCTTGTTTCTTTTGTTGTGTCATTACAAAAAGCATCCAAGCTAAGCGGGTAATATGCATCGATTTGTATGCTAAATCTCTATTCTCGAGTGTTTGCATCAAGCTATGTAAACAACTTTTAAGATTACAGAATGAATTTGTCATAACCGTGGGATGAAGCTTCACAACAAACACGCATTCATTATTTTTAAATAATGAAACACACACTTAACTGTACATTATAAGCTTCCCTTGAATTTCTTTAAGAGCAAACTGGACACCTGCGGCAAAGATTTTTTTAAACTGTGATACTCAAGAGTTCTGAAAAGTAGCGAGATCTCTCATCCGTCATCTATAAAACATGATTCGAAACCTGCATAGCGTCCCGAGAGTAATTGATTCTCTTTGAATTCGATATATGTATTCGATATAAAGCGAATAAATTGCAGTGCTTTATAGCATACAATAATTTGTGTCGGTTATTTCATGTCTCATTACATAATCGAACACGTGCGACGGAAGATTACAAGTTTTACACCTGTGGCCCGTAAATCAGATGGTTTAGTACAAGGATTTCATTTCTTCGTACTTTTCCTTGCTACTAACTTTGTGATCCATGCCCTTTGGTTTCGGAACAGTTCATGTCATAAAGTGCCCTGATTTTACGCTTAAACGAGCAAACGAAAACCACTTTCTGTACAATTCTGCAGCTCCTTTCAACGTAGATCAGCATGGAATTTCATTCCTCTTGCATTGCCAAAGTTGTGTTACGCAGGATATTCAATTACTGTTGTCTTTCGCTGGTAAACTTGCTCTTCTCCCGGATCTGCCATGGGCGCTTTTGAATGCCTCGGAGAAAGCGTTTGCAACAACATCCGATTTTTCAGATTCGTTGCAAATGAAGGCATAGCAATCAACTTTCCTCGGTTTCTGGGAAACAAAGTCATTGAACGCGAACAACTGGTGTTTTTTATCAGCCACAACGAATGATACGCGATTAAACGGCACTTCTATCTCCTCCTGACCTTCTGTTCCTGTGTGTATCCATCGAATTTTAACATCAGTAGTAGAGATCTCTATACACACCCGAGGTAAACCGTCTAAATCATCGCGTACTTTCTTGTACAACTTTTTAAGACACTCATCTATCTTTTCGCCGCCAGGACTCGTTCGTTCTACTTTCCCTGCAAAGCGAACGATAAAACTCCTTGCAGGTTCCAACTCGTATTCTTGTTTCACGCTCTTCAGGCTCAATCGTTTCACCATGTTGTTTCGTCTGTGAGTGTTCGGCGTCGTACTGGATTTTCGTTCTCTAGATCTCATAACACCCATAGAAATCTCTCTGAAATCACAGCTATTTCTTTATGGATATCTCGGAGATTCATAACTAACCCGGAAATGTATCTCGCGAGACAAGAAACTTTCGTGTCAAGATCGTAATTAAGATGGCATTCGTTAAAATGGAATGTCAATAAGACCGCTGTTGATAGTTTTTTTAAAGCTAATTACCCTCCCATATTAGGAACAATAGGTCAGCCCACTCCAATCATATTACAGTGTAATAGAAGTAGAACAAAAAGGTCACGTTGTCATGACAATATAGCGCTTGTAAGCACAGCAAAGTAACCTAATATGGTTTTATGACAGCGTCCCGGCTAGTTCTAGGACCTCCTAACCGCTTGCCCAAAAGGAAAGAATACTAGCTTAGTGCTACAACTTTTCTTTCTTTCTTATATATCGACAGAAGTTCGTAGACACTTCACTATCGCAGCGATCCTATTAAGGACTCTGGAGCTCTGTTTGTTTTTTCGAAATTGTGGCAAAACTACGACTTGGCATTCTCGTTCCCAGAGCCCTCGTTTTGTTCAGTTTGGTCACGTAGTCGTAACGTTCTTTTATGACGAGTAGCTCGGGGTAAATACACTTTCTTTTTGGCCAACAAAGCTTAATAAGAAATAAACACACAAACTGCAGTGACAAACATGACAATAAAACGCATGTTAGGAAACAAAATTGATTAAAGTTAAATGAAATTTGTTTTCCAACATTTTATTGTCATGTTTGTCACCGCAGTTTGTGTGTTACCTCTGGGTAGGAGGATGACGTCTTGAATTTTTCCATTACAGTAAAACAATGAAATCATAACAAGTTTATCCTCTCCTTTCACTTTTTATTTTTAGTTTTATTCTTTGCGCATTGCCTTATAGAGAGGAAACCAAAGCTTACGTAATTAACAAGAATCGGTCCATAAGTAGGTTATTTCAATGCCCAATGTCCGGCCTGGTTATGTTTTGAAAAGCGCACAACTGCTTGCTGTTAAAATTAATTTGCATCTCAGTTACTTTTGCGGCTTTGGTGTTAGTTATCTTTGTCTTTTCGACAAGAAAGCGAGCATTTAATAGGAAATTTTGAAAACATGTGCCACTGTTTTCCTAGTTTTGCTTTGCGTCGTTAAAATTTACATTATAAAGTTGAGTTAATTCGCCACGTCGTTAGCCTGGGGCTAAAGAATTACATACAGACTGTTCGTATTCAGCCCATGAATTTGCAATTCTAATAACTTCTGCCGTATACATTCTGACTGTTTATTTTGGCAGTCTCAAAGCAAATTCGCCACCAGACTGTGTCCATCTTAATTGCGGTGCGATTAGGGTGGCTTTGAAATATAATTTCAGACTAATTTCTCATCGCGAAATATGCCTTTCACTGCCACATCTTCAAGTTTTTAGGCCTGTGCGGCTCATGAGTTTGCCTGGCAACACGAAATGAGATGGAGGCATTCAAAGAGAAGATAGCTGGCCTTGGACCCAGTCGAAGCGACTCGCGAACTTTCACTCAAGAGACCACGTTTCGCGTGAAGTATCTGGGATTCTGTCTGAATTCGCGAGCGGGAGTTGAAGGCATTCGAGCTGCTGTGAGTGAAATTAAGAAAACAGGTGGACAAAGGGATCACAGGAACACAATTCAAACGAACTTCATCAAAATTAGCGACCAAGGTGTGAGTTTCGTGGAGCGAAAACGAGAACGAAGTGTACCATTAGCATTTATTCCGCTTCGGAAGATTTCGTATGGATTAATTTATGAAAAGGACTCCAATATTTTCGCTTTTAATCACCACGTCTCGCAGAACCATGTTGAATGTCATGCAGTTGTATGTGAAAGCGAACTGAAGGCTCGTGAAATTAGCGAAACTTTGTATGCTTCATTCCGAGCAGACCATTTCGAAAACCTACGGAAGGAGCGGGAAAAGGTAAAGAGGTGTCTACAGACAGATTCAATCGATAACCTTACAAGTGGAGGAGGACAAAACGTGAACTCACAATAATTATAAAGCTGGTTCTTTATAAAACATACTACACAGAAACACTGTAATCGACTATAAAGATGTCCCTATTTTGAACTTTCATTCGACTTTCCATTATTGGAGATCAAATTTTTCCATTTTATCATAAAATAGAGCGAGTAAAATGACTAGATTTTTAATCACTTTAATTTAGAATAAAGCAACAGAGCCTAAAAAAATAACTGTTTAGTCTCGTATTTGGTTAATTTTTGCTGAGGCAATAAAATAACCCCCAGCGCGCAAATTTTGCGCCTAAGAAACACCTGTACTAGTTTTACGGGTAATTTAAAACTGTTTTCAGTCTTTATTGTAAAAATGCTTCATTCAATTTGAGAGAATCGTGAGTGTCAATCATCTGTAATCTACCAGTGGCCAAAAAGATGACGAATTCTAAAGCTATGAATTGTAAAATCTATCAAGTTAAGCAAATCGCCGCTATATTAGTTAGTCTGTAGTGATAATGGTTCCGGAACTATTTTTATGGATGAACACTAAAGTTTCATCCGAAAATTATCATTAAATCGTTCTTCCGTAAGCTCAGTAGTTAATCTTGCCTAACAGGTGAAGTTAAAATTACCAGTTTAAGCAGCTGAATTTTGTTAATTTATAAAATGCGGTTTTACCTGTTTCAACCTGCTATGTGTTTTGGTCAACCACTGTATATTTTATCATGAAAATTTCCAGGAGCCCATCACGGCCTAAATCTCTCACACTAAGACTGTTGGAGAACTTGACCAAACAGAGCTATATTTAGATTAAATTTGGCGGGAGACTTCAAGTCCCATTTGTTAATACCCACAGAAAGCAAGCAACTTCATTGGCTTATGATCACACAGATCTCACAAAGACAAGTTATTCGACGGGTACCTTATTATATTTCGCAGGGTTAATAAAATTATGCGTAATATTTTGTTATAGTTATAACCGTCACTTCTTAAGATCATAGTTAATAGAAGATGTATGTTGTAACATACAAAACGTCAAGTTAATACAGTTACGTTTTTGAGAACATGCGTTGTCTATTTGTAATGTTTGTAGCCGCGGTTTGTTTTCCTTTTCTTCTGAAATTGAAATGGCCGAAGAACAAGAATATTTATTAACCATAAATCACTTAGATGGATCTTACACAGACATTTGTAGAATAAAGTGGGCTATTTCCAGTGCAATATGTGCGCCCAGACGCCATGCGCCATAATAAAACAGTTTCGCTGAAGGAAAGGCTAAAAACTTTAGGAAAATGGTGCAGATATTTGCTAAATGCAGTGTTCAAATAATTTCGATAGCATTTTAGTTCTTAGGTTTACATATTCTGTAAACTTACAATGTGACTACTTCAACCAGGAAACCTATAATTTTGTCCAACTTCATATTACACTTGAGCTGATCAGTTTTTTGGTACAATATAGAATCTCCAGTTTTGAATAAATCTGAAACACTCTACTCTACCTTACAAAATGTGATTTAAAGGATGTAGATGTTCGTGGAAGTGTACAATACTATTTTTCTGTTATTATTATTATTTTCCTCTTTTTGACAAAGAACCGCTTTGATACAACGGGGTTCCACTGCATTCGATTTGGCGCGAGATTCACGGTCACGCAACTCGTTCCCAGGCTCTCAGGTGCCTACCTCACAGTCTGAGAAACAACAAAGAACAACAAGTGTAGATTAGGCCAGATCACACCATGTTGTACTGTTAACCATGGATGTAGATTTGGCACCAAACTCAGGTATCAAAAAGCTTGACAACAGTTAGTCTTAAGCCAGTGAAATTTACAATAAGGGTCCAGCCACACCTCTGGCCACCAAATTATGACCGTGGGCTCATTCCATGCTATAATTCCTTGACGAAAAAAGATGGTGACTTATTTTAGTACATTTAGTAGTTTTATCATTTTTTTTTTTTTTTATTTGATTTTCATTTTGCCTCGTATATTTGTTTTTCTAACTCAGCTGCAGAGTTTCGGCTTTCCAAACCAAAACGTCAAGGGTTGTGGTGTTTTAAATTTGTTTTATATTTTCCTTTCACCCGACCGCCAAGTGTTCTCTTCAATTCGATCAGTGACAACATCATTATCGAAAACCTTTCAAAAATTTTGATAAAATTCTTTGAAGACCTTTTTCTTTGATTCCATATGAAGCAAAGATGACACAATAGCAGAGGGGGGGCAAGGGAATTTTCGTGACGCCGTGATCCGGTTTTTTTGTGCTCTGTGAATCGTGATTTGTATATGTAATAGGACTACATGCTGTCCAATTTGGAAATAATTGGATGAAAAAAATTCCGAGGACAGCCAAAATTGGACGAGGCCGCAGGCC